AACAATCTCCTACTCTATATTTGGGGATGACATTGAGATCGGCTTCAAATCGTGTATCCTAGCCATCTGTGAACGTCGGATTCAGTTGGCAGTAAGTAAGCTGTCAAGCTGGGCAGACAAAACTGGTTTTAAGTTTAATTGTGACAAGACTGGGTGCCAACTCTTTTCAAAACTGCGTGGCATAAGGGCATTCCCCGAAATTTCAATAAAGGACACCCCATTGCTACGAAGAAGGATCATAAATTTCTAGGTGTTGTAATGGATGAAAAGCTCAGCTTTGTCCCACATATCAAGCAGCTGCGATTTAAATGATTGAAAGCCTTGAACTTGCTCAAAATTTCAACTCATCAGTCATGGGGTACAGATCGTGACTGTCTGTTAAACCTTCTCAGCAGTGTAGTGCTCTCACATATTGATTATGACTCCGTTGTGTACGAATCTGCGTCGAGATCCACACTTATGATGATGACCCAGTGCATCACCATGGACTTCGTCTGGCCAGTGGTGCTTTCCGAACCAGCCCCACAGACAGCCTGTATGTTGAGACAGACCGGTGGTCATTAGAACGATGACGGCAGTTCACAAGCATCAAGTATGCAACCAAGATGCTTTTCCATGTCGACCACCCATCTCTCGAGCTATTGTAAGATACATCAAACACACACCTGTTTTTGAGGCGACCATAAGCTACGCCAACGTAGCCCATCAGAGTGGCCTCACACTTTGAAAATCTGCATATACCCGTCTCCACTATTCAACTAAGCTCCCACAAGGACACTGTGGCACCATTGGAAATGCGGGCTATCAATTGTGACTTGTCATTCCTAGAGGTGGGAAAGCATGGCCTCCCAATCGCAATCGACCAGCACTTTATGTACTTGCAGGCAAAATACAGGTGTTCTGAGTACTACACTGATTCTTCCAAGTTCTCGGCCGTCGCATGTGCTGCATATGGTCCGGCGTACTCTGAATCTGCAACAACGAACGAACATACCAGCATATTTACTGCTGAGTGTTATGAAACAATGCCCGCTATTAGGCACATCTTAAAGAAAGAAGAACCAGCCTCCGTCATATACACACAGATTCCCTCAGGGCAGTGACTGCGTTGTCTTCCGCAAAGACACATAAAAACCCAGTTACTAATGTCTTTCTAAACTGCCTCATGTTAGCCTACAGATTGATGCCTAAAATTAGGCTATGCTAAATTCCGAGACACTGCAACATAGCGGGCAATGAGGCAGTGCACCGACTTTCAAAATCCGCTGCACTCCGCTCATCAGTAGACGTAGTCATCATCCCGTATGAGAAGTTCAGGCCACTAACCAGAAACCGAATGCGTAGGCAATGGAAAGAGGAATGGAACGCAGCAATCGAAAACAAATTCCACACAGTAAAGCCAAGAATAGGAAGATATGCTCATGCTCTTGAAAAACGTAACATGCATCAAGAGGTTGCACTGTGCAGAATTAAGATCGGTCATACTCATGCAACACACTCGCACCTTTTAAGCAACTCATGCAGCACGCACACCTTGTCCTGACAAGGACCACTGCCGACACTGCGTCGGCAGTGGTCCTTGTCATTTTGTAATACCCATAGGTTTATCCAATTTTACACTCATCACACAGAGCCATACACTTTTAATCTTTATGCACCGTTCTTTTATTCTTGCCAAACTGAGTAGATTTTTTGTCAATAATCGAACCAACCAACAACCCTTTGTTTTGCGCTCTTTGGCCTGAGTTGCCCTTGCGCCACTAAAATCTACCATCATCATCATCATCAGTTTAATTACCACAAGCGCCACTATTCATTCCAGTTACCCTCATTACCCGTCACTGCCATGTTTTTATTTTCATGTGTTTTAAGTCACCTACGGGCGCGGAATATTAAGCCTCTTTATAGTCCCCGAGCAGTGTAATTGTTCAACAACAGATCATAGCCCATCTTTTGTCCCGTCTCATGGCGCTCTTTGGGAAGCACGGTCCTTGAGCCTATAAAACCCACTTGACATCACCATCGTCATCATCGCCTCATAACGCGGACACAGGCCGCATCTGCGAGATTCTTGAGTGAAAAAACTGACTACTCGTGCTGAACAACTGTTCACTGGCCAACCCGTATATATAGGCACTGGGTCTTGACCTCCAAGGTAGTCATCATCATCATCATCATCATCACCATAAGCCTGAGTACGCTCACTGCAGGAAAAAGTCCCCTTCCATGTTCCGCCAGTCAACTTGGTGCTGTGCTTGATGTTGCAACTTTATACCCGAAAACTTCCTAATCTCATCTGCACACCTAACTTTCTGTCTCCTTTACCCGCTTGCGTTCTCTTGGAGTCCACTCTGTGATCCTCAATGTCCAGCGGTTATCTGGCCTTCGATCTACGTGCTCTGCCTACGACCATTTCTTCTTCTTTCTCTCGTTGTCATTTAGGGTTAGACCTATCAGTTCATTTCCATTGGTCGCTGTGTCGTCCTCAACTTAAGATCAAACCACTTTTTAATCCTCCGGGTCTTTTCTCCGCAGGTAAGTACCGGTGAGAAGCAGCTATTATGTACCTTCCTCTTGAGAGATAATGGCAATATACGACACATGACTTCAGGATGCTTACCAAATGTACTCCACCCCATTCTTATTCCTTTAGTTTCTTCCATATCGTGGTTCGGCTCCGCGGTTACTACCTGTCTTAAGTAGACGTACTCTTTTACCACTTCAAGTGCATCGCTATCTATCTGGAAGCGCTGTTCTCTTCGAGGCTGTTGTACATTACCTTCGTTTTCTGCATATTAGTTTTAAGACCTACCTATCTTGCATGTTAAGTGTACAGTGCAGCATGAGAAACGCAGAATACATTCATTCAAACGTTACAGAAAAGCGCTTCAAAACGCTAGAATAAGCACTTACAGCGAAGAAATGAAACAAGATATGGTATATAAATACAAAAGGCAAAACATTATTTGCCTCTGTCGTGAAAGTTTGTTCTTCCTGTTAATTAAAATACACTTTTGTTCCTCGGACAAATCCAGAACTCCAGAAAACGGCTGTAATTGGTCCATTCAGATTTCTGCACCTTTCCTCTGTGCTTTCACATCTCATCTCTCACTGCCTTGTGCCTCGTTCTGCTTCCTTCCTTCCTTCCCTCTATACACCGTTGGACAAGCTGTTGACAGTGCTGTGGAAGGTACGGCGCCATCAGCCAACCATAACAAAGCACACAACTTGATTGGATTTTTCGTGAATGTCGCTTCCGTGAATCGGACTGGTGGCACCGCCTCTGTGAATATTTGTGTACTCTACTAAATAACCTATTAATTTTATTGCAAGTGTCGCTTGACACTTTCTTGAAATGTTTCGTTTAATTTTGGATGGGCAACTTTTGTTTTGAAGAAAATGGCCCGGCTTTTTTGTTTATAATCAGTGTCAGCTGTTCCTATAGGTTTCTGTCACATCATAGCTTCTCTTGAAATATAGGCTAGGGGTAGGGAAAAAACATTTGCTTTATTCATTCAATAACGAATCATTCAAACCAAATTCAGTGAGAAAATTTATTTTCTGACATAATAAAACATGTTTTTTATGTTTTCTGTGATTGCTACTCTTACTCTGATCCGATCTTGTACGCACCACGTACAGGTTGCCATGAGCCCATTGAAAGGGCTAACACCTTGTCGTGCTCATCACAACTTGTATCTGGCGTCCCAACTCTGCTGAGACTCGCAGCAACATTGCACAATGTGCGTCACTTCTATGAGAAATCGTTTCTTAGAGCCTTACTCGCACTTGAAGCCGAGCTGCTTTATTATTCTCTGCATCGTCGTTGTGGACACGGTCGGTAGGGCGTCGTCTTCTTCAAAATCCGGCACCACCTTGGCGATAGCTGGAATTTCACCTATCTGAAAAAAGATGTACACCACTTATCGAAAGATCTTTGTCTTTCGAAAGCGGCGTCTAGCGCACGCTTTCAGATGCCAACGAACGGTCGAGAGTGTGGCGTGAGCGGACGGGAAAGTGGGGCACAGAGAGGCGAGAGAGCAAACAGCGTGAGAAGGAGCGGCGGAGCATGGCACGTATACCCTCTCCTACACTCTCGCACCACACGCTCTGGTTGCTAAGGGTGAGGTGACGCGTGCGTGCCCACAGCCGTTGCTATGGGAGAGGGAGTGAGAGTAGAGAGAACACCTGCCGACGCGCGGACACCACCGCGGGCAACACCGGATGCCTGACATAGCCCGACTAAGGAATGCATTGCATTTAAAAAGTCGACGCATATTTATCGCGCGCGTTTCCCATTCTTCAAATATGAAACACTTCGATCATTTTATGGTTTCCTTTAAGTGATCCAAGCATTGCGCTGGTGTATTGCAAAATAGGGGGGTCAATAAAAGTACCCTTTCCTGTTAGTCTCTTGAGACGATTTCAGATTGTCAGAGGTGTCCCGCCACGATGGTCTAGTGGTCATGGCGCTCGACTGCTGACTGCTCGACGGCCGTGACGGATGCCTTTTTAATTGAGATGAAAATGATCGAGGCCTGTTTACTTAGACCCGTATTAACAAACCAACCTCAACTTTACCTCGAGTTTTCCTCATCAGGTTTAGGCCGTTATTGCGCTTGCTGAACAAAGTAGGCTGGTGTACAAGAACCAATCTCGTTCTTATATTTTACCCTGTTACTATTTCTGTGCCCTTATAACGCACAGAAACTTGAGGAAAACGTGAAGAAATCCAAGGCTGGCTTGCGAATGCAAGCCTTAGTTTTAGGTGTGCGTTAAAGAACCCCTGGTGTTCGAAATTTTCGGAGCCCTCCACTACATCGTCGTTCATTACCATATCGTGGTTTAGGTGCATTAGAATCCACATATTATTATTATTATTATTATTATTAGTAGTAGTAGTAGTAGTAGTAGTAGTAGTAGTAGTAGTAGCAGTGTTGAGATTTCCCAAAGTAGTAACTTTGTAATTCGTATTTCTGATGTTTGTTTTTGGACTTCAGGCAAGCCGGCGAACGTGACGTGGATGTGTGTCAACAGCGAGCAGACGGGCTGCTTCAAGGAGCAGGTGTCCAGTCATTTTGTGAAGGAGGTGTGCCTGTGCGCCGACAGGCACTACTGCAACGCTGCCACTGCTGCGGGAAAACCCATGTCACTGCTTGCCGGGCTTATGTCTACAATATTCACCGTTTTCTTTTGTACTGTTCTCTCTTGAGGTTGCGCATGAAAGGACTTCATGCGCGTTTTTTTTTTCTTCGTAAGTTTAGAATAGCATCAGGACAACTGAAAATAAGTACTTAATGCGAAGATACTTTGCCCATTAACGAGATTTTTTAGCCAGACAGGTGCAGATTTGCCTTCGATCTCATTTACACAGTCTTTGGCAAACTTTTGCGCAATTTCCATGGCGGAATCCTTGAAAAAAGAGTATTGTTTGATAGATTGCGGTGTGAAAATACTCTTGGACGAGTACAAATTCTCTCGCGACAATCGTAGGAAGGTGATTTCTTTAGTTTCTTGACGTATGGTCGAAGCTTAATGCGTGCAGCGACGGGTGTTCAAAAAAGGCCACGCCATTGGCCACAGAAGAAGTGGCTTATTGGGTGTTTGCTTGATTGAGGACAGGGTGGTGACGGAGTAAGCGAGAAGGCGCTCTGCAAATACTTGGATAATTTATGTTTGTATACAAAGACCATTGCTTCTCTTGAGAATGTACCATAAGGTCGTACGCATACCTCACCAATCAGTGACTAACGTCTTGAACCAGATATACAGTTTCGAATATTGGAGCTTGCCGCGGCAAGCCTTTCGTCCTCTTCTGTTTGATGATCTCATTCATTGCGCTGATGATCTGTCATTTTTTGTGTTATAAAATATACGACAAGACGATTCGGCGATGCGGTGGTTTAGGTATTATGGCCTTGGTTTCGCAGAGTAGTTCTTCGGAATTCAGCAAAGTGGCGGAACGATTGCGAAAGAGAATATTGACAGGCACTTGTCTTTTTGCAGAAAGCTTCACTGAAATCTTTGGGATTTTGTGCCTTGTAGCAAAACTTGGTGTCGTGAAGCTTTTTGTTTTGTTTCATAACCCTCCATGGAAAGCATTGCTGTAAATTTTCCTTCATTTACGTGCATCTGTTAATGACAAATCTGAAATATATGTCATGGCATCAACAACATAAGTCACATGATCCGACCGAAAGTCCTAAAGCTGCCGTGGTCAGTTAATCAACATGGCATATACTGAGCGAATATACTTCCCACAAAGAAAAGGATGACGTGCCATGACATATGTGATAGTATATGTATGTCTTCAACGCCATGGATTTCACAAGTCGCATAAATGTAAAGTTATCGTTTTAATGAACGAAATAACAAAATTCATCAAAAAAGCAGTATTTTTTAACACAGCCTAATAAAATAAGCAGACACTGAGACCCGGGGAAGTATAAGGTACTTTATTTGGAGTGTTTTACTCTTGTATAGAAATTTGAAACAATCGTATAGAATTTAAGGTAAACAAAATACGAGTTGCCGCCAGTAGAGTCAGAACCTTCAGCCTTCTGACAACACGTCCTATGCTTTCTGAAAGCACCCCGCCGCGCTGGTCTAGTGGCTAAGGTACTCGGCTTCTCACGCGCAGGTCGCAGGATCGAATTGCGGCTGCGGCGGCTTCTTTTTAGATGAAGGCGAAAATGGGTAGGCCCGCGTGCTTAGATTTATGTACACGTTAAGAACCCCAGGTCGTAGAAATTTCTGGCGTCTTCCACTACGGTGTTTCTCGTAATCGTATGGTGGTTTTGGGGACGTTAAACCTCATATGTAAATCAAATCAAGCTTTCTTAAATTCACATCTGTGCTCGAACGCGAGCACCGGCAGTGTCTTGCAGTATCAACCACTTCAGGCGCCATAGCCTTTTCCACATGCTTGACGAGCTTGTGCGACACACAGTAGGCGATTTGCACAATGACACTTACCTGTCGATCAGCGCAATGACGTCGAGACAGGACAATAAATATGTTTACAGAGTAAACAGTTACTCGCTACGTTGTCTGATATACCGAGAGTGATACATGCCGAGTGACCCAAGCAATATCCTCTACAGAACATCAGACGCAATGTGGGCGGGAAGAAAGCTTCTCCACAAAAACATTGTGCGCTGAGCCCTTCTGCTGCTGCACCTTCAGATACTATGGCCAGGGGAGCACTATTCAGTAACGAAAATTTGCCCCGACATTAGTGTTGCCGATCTGAGAGCAATTTATACTTCCCAAAATCCATGATCTCCAACCAAACCCGGTCTCGTGTCATCGTGTTACTCGGTCCGGCGGTGGTAGGTCAATGGGAGCGAACCCTGATGACGTGCCGCGCATACGGCATGATGATAACACAGGGCACGTACCCGTTACACCGAGAGGCCGTGTCGCCAAAGTGTTGTTACAAAAAGAGAACCCACTAAGTATGAATAGATCCATGGAGGACGCTGGCGGTGATGGTTCGGGAGCGTTCATTCGTCTAGCGTGTAGTGAGGTGCTGCGGCCGTTCGTCCTGAACCACCCTCCGCGACTGCCGCCGTGTCTGCACGCATATGCAACATGCTATAACTCATCGGAATGAGTGAGCAATGCTTACCCCTCCGACGGACCATGGTCTCACTTTATTTATTTATAAAACAGTATAGTGCAAATATTACAATGCAAACTCAAATCCGCAAACTTCATAAAAGAAAATAGAAACCATCATCATAAAAGGGATTTTGTACTGTTACGGATAAACATAAGAACGTTGAAGTTAGGCTCCGAGGGACTGTGCGTTTTATTTCATAGTCGCAAGAATGGTGTACTAGAATTTCAGAACTAGAACTTCTACTGGCAAGCGAATTAGTATCGTTAAACAATTCTAAGCTTTATTACAATACTAAGCAAGTGTGTAAAAGCGAGCGTCACCTGTTGCGTTAGGGCCCTTACACGCGCTTTCCGCACAGCCGCAATGCACGTGCCGGGACCCCTACCGCCCGCAAGAGGGGGACAAATAAGCCAATAGGCGACGCTCTTTCACCCTCCGCAGCGTAGCCAATTGGCTTATTTGTCCCCCGCTTGCGGGCGGTAGGGGTCCCGGCACGGGCGTTGCGGCTGTGCGGGTAGCGCGTGTAAGAGCCCTAAACAAGAAAACGTCGCCCGCACCTTTGGTTGGGCACTTGTTTACCAAATAAAATGGAAAAAAAGTAAGAAAAAGGGCAGCGTTCAGTGGTAAACGTGCTTTTGTTTTGGAGCTTTTTCAAATGGAAACTCGCGTGTTTTATTGAAAAAGCATTATAGACGAGGAAAAAGTCGTGTATCCGCTTGGGAAAACAGGATGGAGCGGGGATACTTTGGACCGAGGATATATATATATATATATATATATATATATATATATATATATATATATAAAGCCTGGTAAAGCCTTTGAACGGTGGGTCGTCCTCTCCAGCGCCTTCTAGTGGGTCGCCCTTTTCATAAGAAGAAGAGCAGCTCGTGCAGAGGGTCGGTCTCCGCATGGACTGTCGCTGTCGTGAATCATCGCGAAGTGTCCGCCAATAAACCTCTTAACAATTTGGTGGAGAGTGCTGAGAGTGCTGTGCCCTTCAAACACCTTCGGTCCGAATTCGATGCCCTTGGAGCTTCGATCCCGTAGCTAGCCTTCAACCATGCACCAAGACGCCGCCCAGCAAACGCTTCCTCCTGCGCCGACGCCATGTCCCGGTGTCCTCCGCATCCGCGACCCTCCTGTCTTCACCGGCGCGGATGGCACCGACGTCGAGGACTGGCTGGCCATGTACGAACGCGTGAGCGTCCCCAACCATTGGGACGAGGCAGGTAAACTCGGCAACCTGTTTTTCTACCTCGCGGGTGTGGCCGGCATGTGGTACAACAACCACGCATCCGATTTCCCGACTTGGTCCGCTTTTAAAACCGCTGTCGTCGACGTGTTCGGCCGTCCGGCCGTTCGTAAGCTGCAAGCTGAACAGCGTTTACGAGAACGAGCCCAGCAGACCGGCGAGTCCTTCATAAGTTATATCAAAGACATCCTTGACTTGTGCAAGAAAGTCGACCTGAACATGTCAGAGGCTGACAGAATTACCCATGTTCTAAAAGGCATCGCCGACGATGCCTTTTCCATGCTCCTGGCAAAGAACCCCCGCACTGTGGCAGAAATCATTACGTTATGCCAAAGTTACGACGAGCTGCGGCGGCAGCGCTTGATGACCCGTCGACCGCCACCACGTGATGCTGATCTCTCGGCCTTGTCAGCACTTCCTGACCACGCAACTTTGCTCGCCGAAATCAAGTCGTTCGTGCGTGAGGAAGTTGCCCGCCAGGTCTCTTTACTGGTTTTGCTTCCCCACAACATGCTCAACAGCCATCAAGTACACTTCTACCTCCGCTCCGCCGAGCCATTCAGCAGGAAATCGCGGAGGTCGTCCCTGAATACCACCAGCCACCTCCTGCATCTGCGCCACACAGCTACGCCCAAGTTGTCGCCAGGCCGCCCCCCACCGATTTCTGTCGCTATTCCCCTAAATTACACCGAAACCGTCACGAGGCCCCAGGCCTTTGGAGAAACTGTCTCACCTACATACGCCGGCGTCACCCACGTGCCCCGAGTATCGCCTAACATGCACTCATATCAGCAGCCGGCTCGCCAATCGCGTTCTGCGACATGGATGGGACCCGCAAACCGATGGCGTACTGCTGACAATCGCCCCATCTGCTTTGCTTGTGGTTGCGTCGGTCATGTTGCACGCTATTGCAATCGTGTGCAGCAACCGCAGGTCACCTCCAACTTTCCCAGCCAGTCAGGCCGCTCTTATGACCAACCACCGCCTATGTCACCGTCGTCCCACTCCGTTCTATCTACCCGCCGTTCACCATCTTCACGACGTCGCTCACTGTCGCCGATGCGGCCACGTCCACTCGAGGGCGACCAGGAAAACTCGTCGCAAACCACGAGGCAAGGGCTGCGACGCTGTCGAACTGCGGAAGCCCTCAGGAAAGCCCGTCGAACGTGATAGACGTGCTTGTGGATGGTGTTCGTGCATCTGCCCTTGTAGATATGGGAGCCACCGTATCCGTAATGGACGCAAAACTTAGCCGATTACTGCGCAAAGTGACCACGCCGCTTTGCGGGCTCTCCCTCCGTACAGCCAGCGCCCAAAGCATTCACTCTACAGCGATGTGCACAGCCCGCCTTATGATTCAGGACGTGATGTATGCGGTCGAATTCATCATAATTTCTTCATACTCTCACGACGTTATTCTAGGATGGGATTTTCTCTCCCGCCGCGACGCCGTCATTCATTGCGCACCAGCAGAAATAGAATTAACGCAATTTTCTTCTTTGACGCCGGCCGACAGTCCATCAGCTTCAAGCAAATTACTCGTCAGAGACGACACTCAAGTGCCTGCAAACTCGTCCGTGGCGGTGTCGCTCTACTGCGCAAGCCTTTCTGACACCGCTGCACTCCTCTCGTCATCTCATCGTGTTTTCATAAGAAAATGTTTGCTGGTTCCTTTCGCTACCGTGCAACTCACTCACGGCAGCACCACTATTTTTGCTGTGAACTCATCTCCGTACAGCGTTACGTTGGTGCGGGGGAATGTCACGGCAGCGTGGAACCCATCGAAGACGCGCAAGTTATGGATCAACCCGATGACATGCACTGCTCAAGTTCCTGTACGCTTAGTGCTGTTTGGACATCTGCTTCATCATCCGATGATGTATTCGGTCCCTCCATACCCGACGACCTTACACCGGGCCAGCGTTCCCAGCTGTTGGGCCTGTTGGAAGAATTCCGCTCTTCTTTCGATGTCTCTCAACCTTCTCTCGGCCGCACATCCACCGTTACGCATCGCATCGACACAGGCGCACAGCCACCGCTGCGGCAACGTCCATATCGCGTATCTCCTACAGAACGCCGTGTAATCAACGAGCAAGTCAACGACATGCTTCGCCGCGATGTTATTCGCCCCTCTAGCAGCCCCTGGGCATCTCCTGTCGTTCTCGTCACGAAGAAGGACGGTTCCGTGCGGTTCTGTGTGGACTACCGACGCCTCAACAAGATCACTCGTAAGGACGTGTACCCACTACCACGGGTAGATGACGCGATTGACAGCCTGCAAGGAGCAGAATTCTTTTCATCCCTCGATTTGCGCTCAGGGTACTGGCAAGTACCTATGGCTGAGGACGCTCGACCGAAGACCGCTTTTGTCACCCCCGACGGCTTGTACGAATTCAACGTCATGCCGTTTGGGCTGTGCAATGCGCCCGCCACCTTTGAGCGCATGATGGATACTGTTCTGCGTGACCTGAAATGGCACACATGTCTGTGCTACCTCGATGACGTCGTCGTTTTCGCTCCTGACTTATCGACGCATCTTCAACGCCTTCGGCATG